CCCACGTTTTTTGTCGAATTAAAGTTTAAAATTTGTTATTTAATTTTCCGTTGTCAACGAATAAGAATAAAGTAAATGTCAAATTATTGTTCAGTGATTGCAATTCAGGTTTAGAATAGGGAATGAGGTAGTTTAGTACTTTTTTAAGGCAGTAAAATGTAGTTTTTTCAAGAGGGAAACATCCATTTTGCTAAGGGAGTCAAGATGGCGGATTAGAGCGAGAATGCTGTCAATATCCAACACCTTGTATTATTCCACCATGGTCAAGACTATACAAGAAAACACCTCACAACAAAAAAAGAAACAAAGCACTGAGCAGAATAAATGTGGTATCTGCAAGTGGGTCCTGGGCAGTTTTGTATTGATCACAGTGATTGCTGCTGTGTTGATCTACGACACGAATTTAAATGGGAAAGGTGTGTTTGAACATTCAGCTACTGGGAAAGTCTTGAAGAATGCCGGAGTGTTACCGCATGTGGAAAAAGCATGGTACATGTCAATGGGAGCTGCAGCACGTGGTTACAAATGGGCCGAACTCCATTTGCCACCATACGCGAAGACTGCTGGCCAGCTGGTATATGATGTCTTCAAATTGTCACGCAATGCCGCCTGTAATATATATGGTGTGCTCTCAGATTTGGCAGCGTCTAAACTACCTGTTGCTGCAAAATTTCTCGAACAATATGTTCCTGGTTTCTCTAAAAGAATCGGCGACACTTCATTAGCAGTCAAAAATGTTTGTGTGGAAGTGATGTCTTCAAATTGTCACGCAATGCCGCCTGTAATATATATGGTGTGCTCTCAGATTTGGCAGCGTCTAAACTACCTGTTGCTGCAAAATTTCACGAACAATATGTTCCTGGTTTCTCTAAAAGAATCGGCGACACTTCATTAGCAGTCAAAAATGTTTGTGTGGAAGTGTTTGGAAAGACAGTATTCTTCTTTAAGACACAGGTTTTCAGTGACCGCTTTTCTCCCGAAAACCTTAGCAAAGTTGCGAATCAGACTCGCAATGCTGCACTCGAATACTATATGCAATTCCATAAAAAGGTTGATACTTATTCAAAATTGAAATGATTTTGAGAACAAATACAAATATGTACATACATAAAGGCGATCATTTCACCAATTCAATCCAACTCGACAGAACACCTCCACTAAGACCGATGCCAATCACCCAACAGTCAAAACGATTGCACGGCAAATCATGCCACCAAAATATTTTTGAGTGCTGTTAAGACAACTTTTTATCTCATCATGAATATGTTGAGGTGAACCTTACAAATTGTTTGGTGACTACCAAAAATGAAGCGAAAAACTGAAAATTCACTGTACTAAATCTATCTTGCGTTTAAGACTTATTATTCTACTTTGATATATTCCATTACATTTTTTTTTTGTTTTGCGAAAACAAAACAGGCAATCGAAGTTAGTATATATGTGCATACCCTGCAAACCAAAGTTCCCGAAATCTTAACGAAATCTTTAGGAGTATCTGATTTCTGTAACGATTTTTTCCGAATCTTCAAAGAAAATTATATGAAGTGGTTGACACGAACTCTTAAAGAAATTTCTGTACGAAAAATAAAGAAAATTCTGAAAAAAGTCTGCAAGAAATTCTTCACATAGCAGCATTATTTTCATTTCTTCACCGATTTTCTTCCGAAATTTCGTAAA